CCACACTCTTCACCAGGCAGGGCCCGTGGCTCATGACTGCAGAATAGCCACTCCACCCATGGCTGAACATGCTCACTAGTAATGACCTGAGGAGAGGCTTGTAGAGACATGTTACAGCCCCTTTGTCACTGGTTCTATCCCTGCTGCCCTCCGTCTGAAGAAGAAGCAAAGAGCCTGAGGGCTACATCTGAGCCTACAGCATGCCACAGTCATATGGAGAGGAAACCAGTCTCTCCTCCCAGTGAACTCTTCACCCCCTGCTGCCAAACAAGCAGAGCCCCAAGCTCATGCCAGCACTGCAGCCGCCCCTCCCCACTGGCTGATCACTCCCAGTAAGAGCAGCTCTGTTTCACAGAGATGGAGCCCCTGGGGCAACCAAAAGCCTCTCTGCCACTGCTTCTGCAGTGGTATTACCCCTGCCACCTTCAGACTAACAAAGGCAGAGGGAGTGGCGGAGAGGCTTTTGGTGGCCCCTGGAGGCTCCACCTACAAGAAAGATGGAGTGCAGGAAAGGGAGCTCCTGGCCGGGACCCACAGCACAGACACATCCTAGGCTGATTGCACTGAGCAATTGCTGACTTGCATTTCTCTGGGGTGGAGCCCCTAGGATACAAACAAAAGACCATCAGCTACAACCACTGCTAAGGTTCCTTCCTCTGCTGCCTCTAAGTTGGGGAGGAAACATAAACCCTGAGTTCACCCCAGAGCTCTGGTGGACAGCCCAGGAGTGCCAAACCACAATTTACAGCCAGCGCTCAAGTGGAAGAGGGGCCCATGCTTTCACAGCATTGAGAGCACAGAGCAGCATGGCTGCAACTGTGAGGAAATAGAGGGGAGCCACACAACTGAGCCAGAGCCTACCAACTGACCACTATGCCTAAGCGCCACCTACCGGATCACACCCCAAAGCCTCAACACCAAAAATATCTAGGTAACATACTCCCCTGTAAAACCAAAGACAAGAAGTTAGCCACAAATAAAAACCTGCATAAAGCTTCCGCCCTGTGAAAACGTCCAGAAAAGAAGTCTATTGACTATACTCAATCTACATTGCAGTTAAGGAACACCCACATGGAGAGATGAGAAAGAAGTAATGTAAGAACTCCCGTAACTCAATGGCCAGAGTGCCATATGTCCTCCAAATGACCACAGTAATTTTCCAACAAGGGTTCTTAACCTGAACCCAGGAGGCAGAGGTTTCAGTAAGCTGAGATCATGCCACTGTACTCCAGCCTGGGTGACAGAGTTAGACTCTTTCTCAAAAAATAAAAATAATTTTAAAAAGTAAACATGAGATATGCTAGATACCAATATGTGCTATAAAGAAGATAAAATAAGGTTAATGCAGTAGACAGTGACTGCCTTAGCTGGTGTGTTTGGCTGAAGACCTTAAGGTGACATAGGAATTCCAACGTGGATGAGAAATGGGACTGGATGAGTTTGGAAGCATGGCAAAGAGTTTGGATTTTGTCCTAGGTGGAGGATTTTCCACAAGGCAGTGAGACATTCTAACAGACACTTTTGAAAGATTACTCAACTGCTAGATGAAAGATGGACCTAAGGGGTCAAGGGCAGCGGTGTAGGGATAAAAGGCTATTGCAATGGTGTAGGTGAGAGAAGAGGCATCTTGGACTATTATTAGAGCAGTGAAGATGGTGAGAAATGGACACTTTCAGGATATAATATGGGTATTGAACTGGTTAACCTATAATAGATGTAAGAGACGGAAAGAAATAGATGATGAAGACTAGATTTTTGGCTCATCAACTGAATATCTGAGGATGGCACTTATTTAGGTGTGAAGGCGTATTAGTCCATTTTCACACTGCTATGAAGAACTACCTGAGACTGGGTAACTTATATAGAAAAGAGGTTTAACTGACTCACAGTTCCACGTGACTGGGGAAGCCTCAGGAAACTTACAATCATGGCAGAAGGGGAAGCAAGGCATGTCTTACCGTGGTGGAGCAGGAGAGAGAGAGTGAACAGGGAAGCGCCACACTTTTAAATCATCAGATCTCATGAGAACTCACTAACACAATAACAGCAAGGGAAATATTTGCCCCAATGATCCAATCACCTCCCACCAGGCCCCTCTTCTGACATGTGTGGATTACAATTCAAGATGAGATTTGGATGGGGACATAGAGCCAAACCGTATCAGAAGGCTTGAGAGCAGAATGATTTTAGTGGGTGGGTAGGAAGCAAGTGGATAAAGACTTCTGTTTTCGCCATGCTCTTTGAAGTGTCTATTAGATACCAGGTACTTGGTTGTATATAAGAATCATTCTGACTGCTACAGTTTTTGCTGGATTCCAGTGGGAAGTTGCATCAGATTACAAGATTTATAGAACATTATGGTAATGAGCATCTGTATGATGATGAATGACCTGGGAATCTTGGACTTTTGATAGTGGCTGACATAGCTTGAGATATAAATTAAGACGGATTGATCCTAAAAGTCATAGATGTAGATGCTGGTCATTACTTGGCTTGCTTCCACTGAGACAGTTTAATGATACTCAACAGCATATGATGTTGAGAATTATCCTTAGCTTTTTCTTTTTCGTTAAAAATTTTAATAACCAGTTTTAAAATCATTTTCCTGGTTAATCTTTCTAAAATGAAACTTTGGAAGAATTATTTTGTCAAAGTTTGTTCTGTACCCATGAGTTCAATACTTCAATAATAAACACCGCCCAGGAGTTGTGTCTTAGTGCACACAAATACAACGATATAAATTGTAAATGGTTGGTTCTTTCATTAAAGAGGCCAAATACAGCTTAAATATCCTAAGGGGTCACCTTTTTTTTCTTTACTTGTAGATATCAGGCACAATCAGGTACCTAATCACTAGGTATCTAGATTTTAATGAGAATACCATCTTCCCTAACTTTAACTTACACCATTGGGAAGGGGAGGGGCTCCGCTTTTGGAGGGCAGAGCAAGGTTGGAGAATGTACAAATAGACTTGGGTAAGTTCTTTCAAATCTTAGGACTCATCCTTTGTTCATCTCCTGGATCATTGCCCAAAGAGTGGAAGAAATTACCAGTCAAGCCAGCCAGGTGGGTTAAGTCTATCCTGGCAGTCCCGGAGACTTCTGCAGACTGACTGCCTGATGTCCATGCCCCGTGCGGTTTTTCCCCTTTCAGAAGGGATTTCTCCCTGATCTCTCCCCACAAACTCTGACTTTGCTTTCTCATTTCCTAAGAGCAACTCAATATGCATCTCCTCATCCAAGCTACCTTCCACTATTTCCCTACTGATTCTCTCTGTCATGTATATTTTTCATTCTTCTCTTCCTTTCTCTGCTCTACCATGCCCCTTTGTTGTCAATGAGTAACTGATAAATGTGAATGATTCTTTTAAGGTTTATTGACCAGCGCTTTCCCCCACTCAAGCATTTGTTGGTGACTCACAGGCATTTCATCCCATAGTCGATCAACACCAGTTCCATGACAGCCTGCTCTGATAGTCCCCACTCCTTGCCCCTGTTATTTTTCATTTCTTCCTCATTGACTCTCTATAGACCCTTCACTTATATTTTACTTTTCATATTTTATCATTTGAGCCTTGTGCTATTAAGTAAATGTCTACCTGCCATTCCAGTTTGTAAAGTTCTTGCCAGTTAGAGTCCATGTGCTGTTCATTTTTGCATCCTTCAGCACACCTAGCCAAATACAGCACTCATAATAGATGTTTAACAAATGTTGGTTGTGAATGAGCTCATGGACCAACTTAAATTCTAAGTCTTCTAGAAAAACTCAGTTCCAATACTGCAACCCACATTGATCCTATTTTTGTATTCTCCTAGTACTTCATGTCTGCATTAGTCAATTCTTTGTTTTTAACCTAATCATATGTTCTCTTCCATTATCATTTAGCTGTTTCACATTGTGTAAAGCTTTTTTCCCTCATTTTATTGTAAACATACAGAGAGCTCATAACCAGCCTCTTCAGGGACTGATGCAGTGTATTTTCCACAGAAATTGTTCAATAAATGTGTGTTGCATGGAAGAATGAATGAATTAATGCATGATTTGAAGAATGAATAAACACACTCCTGTCTTTTTATCTGCTCCTCAGCTTCCTGATCCTGTAGGCATGAATGCTTAGTGTCACTTAATTCTTTGCTTTTCCTCCACTTTCCAAATCAAACCAGTCACAATATGTTATTGATTCTTACCTTTCAGTACCTCTTAATCCATTCTGAGTGTAATAAGAAATTTTACCCATCCTCTTTCAAACATAAAGGTAAGCAAAAATCAGTTATAAATTATAAAACTAGCCTGTAGCTACTGCCTATATGATAAACACATCTGGCAGAGAGGTTGGTGGATTTCACTCAATGTATTTTAGCCTTTTCTCTGGAGAACTTCTTATAAAACATTAGAATTTAGATAGAGAATATAGAAATTAAGATAGAGGTCATGGAAATAGCCTGAGGTAACCAGGTGATAGATCTGGGTAGCTTAGGGAATACATGTGTGTGTGTCTGTGTGTGTGTGTGTGTGTGTGTGTGTGTGTGTGTTTTGAGACAGAGTCTTGCTCTGTTACCCAGACTGGAGTGTAGTGGGACGATGTCGGCTTACTGCAACCTCTGCCTCCCAGATTCAAGTGATTCTTGTGCCTCAGACTCCCAAGTAGATGAGACTAGAGGCGTGTGTCACCACGCCTGGCTAATTGTTTTTGTATTTTTAGTAGAGATGGGGTTTCGTCGTGTTGGCCAGGCTGGTCTCATACTCCTGGCCTTAAGTGATCCACCTGCCTTGGCCTCCAAAAGCGCTGGGATTACAGGCTTGAGCCACCCTGCCAGGCTGCGAATACATCTTTCTTTTTGGTTGGCACTGGTCCTCTAGTAAGGCAGTAGTTTAATCATTTACATGTCCTCTTCCTACCTCAGCCTTCCCACCACGCTTCCCTACTCAAGGCTTACTCCAGGAAAGAAGAAATTTTCCTTCTATCCATGTGATTTGTTGTAAAGAAAGACTAAAAAGTATCCAAATTGTACTTTATAAAGAATTTCCCATAGTGGAGATTAACATTCAATATATGAAGGTCAAAGGATGAAGATGTGCCATGAAGCCTCATCAGACTCTATTAGTTAATTTCAATCAGCAAGTGACAACTGCACATTTTAAAGCCTAGATCTGTGATGACACCCAGTGGCCAAAATGTCAACCACTGAAATTTAAAAAATATACCCAGTATTTTCATCAGTACACAAATAATATTGCATCCACTTTAAATTTTGATTAAATAACAAAGCATGAAAATGTTCTACATTGAGAATATCATCAGTGAAATGTGGACAAACCAACTTTCTTTAGTACTGTATTTAGTAGAACTTTCCCAACCAGTTCAGGCAGATAAAAGCACTGGGTTATCAAAGGTGACACATTCCTAAAAAAAAAAAAAAAATGCTTTTAAACTTGGAAAAGGTAATTTGTGTCAGTATATAGCAAAGAACCAAAGACCAAATACAGGAGAGTACAAACAGAGATTATTGAGACTTCACACATGGCCCTTTAAACAATTAGAAAATCATTAACATGCTTAGCTTGGCAATTCAGATCACATTAATTACTTTAGCCAGTACCCATCCCAAAATGTATAGGATGCTTTGTACATTCTTTCACCTGCTCATTCAAAAATATTTCCCGGTGTCCTGGGTTGAGAAGCAGACTTGGAGAGGGAGATTAATATCCATGATATTTGTGAAGGCAGGCGCTTGGGATCACACTTGTAGACGGAAAATGAAGGAGGAGGATTGTGGGGAGAGAGAGAGGAGATGGCTCCTATACAGCCTCAGTTGACCTCACAGAGAGCTCTGAAGCTAGCCTGGCCTCTCAGTGTTGTCCATTCTTGGGGTAATGAAGCAGGACTTTTATCCTCTGCCTCCATCCAGTCATTGGATGTGGGCTACTCCCAGAAAGGGAGTAACCTTAGGTGAGGCAGCTCTGAAGAGGCCTGACAGCTGAGGCTTGTCTACTGACAACACTCCCAGCAGCTGGGTGGGGGATAAGACCTCCAGGCTCAAGGGTGATCTCTATCGCCCACCACACTGACGCAATATGATGCCAACAAAATAAACAGGCTTTTTGATCTTCTGTAACTTAAAGAAAAGCGTTAAGCCAATGAACACTTTGATATATACTTAAGGCTGTGAAGGAAGAGAGGGCTTTAAGACAAGAATGGGCAGGCGTTGGGGGAAGGAGAGGAGGGCTAATGCCTGGCCGTCTGCTGGTTTCATAATCAGGGCAGAGTGGCAGGAAGGATACAAAAGAGAACTATAACGCTTGGACTGGGAACTGTTCACTTTATTCTGCTGGCAGCATGGAGTCACTGAGAGGTTTTACAAAGGGAACGGAAAGTATAATGTAGACAAGTGAAGTGGTAGCGGAGTAGATTGGATTAGAAGGAAATTGAGCATTTTAAAGTCAACACAGGAATCAAGCATTTTCTTTTGAAGGTCATCTCCAATTTGGGCCTGTGTTTCTGGTCTCATTTCTCACCGTTACCTTCTAGATCCTTTCGGGCCTATACAGATAATGGCCTCTTCCATTATCTGAACATAAATGTTAACTCCATTTTTTTAATATTGTCCTTTGACACCAATGAAATTTTCTAGTCTTTAAGATCCAGCTCAAATTTCACCTCCATTTGAAATGTTTTTTCTGCTTTAAGCCCTTCAAGGGTCTCTCTCTACCCTTATTTTCAGGATAAAGCAAAAATGTCTTACTGTAACTCACAAAAACGAGTAGGATCTGGCCTCTGTTTATTCACCTTGCCAGACTTATATCAACCCATTCCCCTATGTTTGTTTGCCAAGGTGGGGAACTTGTGCCTTATTTGGCTTTTTAGTAGGTTGGTGCAAAAGTAATTGTGGTTTTTGCCATTAACCACAATTACATTTGCACCAACCTAATAATTTCAGGAAAAATAATCATATGTTTGACATGCTAAATGCTTCATTGTTAAATTGAAAAAAGGTAAACAATCTTCACAAATAAAATTACTTACTTTTGATAACTCTTCTCCTTCAAAGAGTCATGGTTTAATGCAGAGTATTGGCAGGGTGCAGTGGCTCATGCCTGTGCTGCCAGCTTTTTGGGAGGCCAAGGCAGATGGATGGCTCAGGAGTTCAAGATCAGCCTGGTAATGTAGTGAGACCTCATCTCTACAAATAAATAAATAAATAAATAAATAATAAAGAGTATTTCTTTTCTAAGTTCACTGATGTACTAAGAAATTTAAGACTTCTGCACTATAATTTGTAGCCAATCATCCCCGGAGCCTTAAATGCTCATGTTAATGATAAATATGATATATGTTTCTTCCATGTGAAATATTTCTTCTAAGTAAAACATTAGTACATTTGCAACTGTAGAATTAGAAGGGACAGTTAGAAGGGACAATAAAGATTGTCTATTATAAGCCACTCAGATTATAGTCAAATAAACTGGCTTGGGGGTGTTAAATATGGCTTGAAAACCATCCCTTAGCTAGTTCATGACAATGTCGAAGCTAGAAACTAAGTTCATTTATTGCCAATAATAAGAAACATTTAGAGGCCCTACATGAGCCAGGTACTCCTCTGAACATGCTAGGTATATTATCTCATTTAATCTTCACAATCCTATGAGGTGATACTGTTATTATCTTCAATTAGAGCAAGGAAGCTTAGCCACAGAAAGGTTGGCTAAACTTGTCCAAATTGCAAAATGCAGAATCATTATAATAAAAACCCTCAAAAAGATCTTTCTCTTTTCAGCTTCTCAAATTTCCAAACCCAGACATATCAACACATATAATGCATTAAAAATTATACTCCTTCCATTAGAAAGTAGACTCCATCTTCTGACCCCTTGATCTGAGCTGGATGGTCAGAAACTTGACTCACTTTGACCAGTAAAATTGAGGCTGAAGTAACATTGTGTGGCTTCTGGGGAAGTTATCAAAAAGTGTTGCAGCATCCAATCTCACCTTCCAGCTGCTCAGAGACTGCCTAGTTAAGACACTTAAACTAGTTTCCTTAAAGTTGACAGACTGCAAGAAGAGAACAGCCCAGACACCAGTAGATATATGTGAGGGAAACTCACTTGGACTGTTCGTCAATTCCCACTATCAGCTGACTGCAGCCACAGAGCGAGACCACGAAAACAACTCTACTTACCTTAGCCCAAATTGCTGATCCACAGAATTATGAAAAAATAATTATTTTTTCAAGCAAATATGTTTTGAAGCAATTTGTTATATAGTAATTGATAACTGATAGAGCATATGATATTGTTGTTTGATCGATTTAGCATGGTATTTCTTTTCCTATCACTTTGTTTTTAACTTTTCTGAGTCTTTATATTTAAAGTAGGTTTGTGGTAGCCAGTACACAGTTAAGTCTAGTTTGTTTTTTTTTTTAATCCAACCTGACAGTCTCTGGTGTTTAGAACATTCATATTTAAACTGATTATTGATATAGCTGCATTAAAATTTACCATCTTTGTAACTGTTTTTTATTCATTGCATTTGTTCTTTATTTCTTTCTCCTGCTGTTTTTCTGACTTCTCTGGGGTTAATTAAGCATTTTGTATGATTTGATTTTATAGGTTTACTTGGTGTATCATATACTTTTTATTAAAAATTTTTGTAATATCCCTAGGGTTTACAATATACATTTTAAAATAAGTCCATCTTCAAATAACATTATATAACTTTATAAGAACATGCTCCCGATTCATTCCTCCCATTCCTTGTAATATTGGTGTCAATCATTTTACTTGTCCATATGCTATAGTCACCCTGTACATTGTTACTATTATTACTTTAAATGGCTATCTTTTAGATCAATTAACAATATTATTTTAATTTCACTTATTCTTTTTCTAATGCTTTTCTTTGTATAGATACAAGTTTTTGACCTATATCATTTTTCTTATCTCTGATGAATATCTTTAATATTTTTGCAGGGCAGGTCTGCTGGCAATGAAATCCCTCAGTTTTCTCTAAAAAAACCTTTATTTTTCACCACTGAAGAAAAATGTTGCTGGATATAGAAATATAGGTTGACAGGGTTTGTTTCAGCATTTCAAAGATTTCACTTCACTCTTCTTGCTTGCATGGTTTCTGAAGCCAAATCTGCTGTAATCTTTATCCTTACTTCTGCTTTTTTGTTTGTTTGTTTGTTTTGTTTTTTGTTTTTTTTCCCCCGTCTGGCTTCCTTCAAGATTTTCTTTGTCTTTGATTTGCTGCAGTTTGAATATGAAATGCCTGGTTGTATAATTTTATTTTTAATCATTTGTTTTGGCCTTCTCTGAGCTTCCTGGATCTGTAGTTTGATGATACTGTTATTATCTTCAATTAGAGCCAGGAAGCTTAGCTACAGAAAGGTTGGCTTTGGTGTTTGTCATTAGTTTTGGGAGTTCTTGGCCGTGTATTATTTCAAATAGTTTTCTGTCCTGTTCTATTTGTTATCCTTCTGATATTCAGTTATACCTTTTGATACTGGCCCACAGTTCTTGCATATTCTATTGTTTTTTAAAATTTGTTTTCCTTCTCTTTTTCAGTTTGGGAGCTTTAAAAATTGACCAATATTCTGGCCGGGCCGGTGGCTCACACCTGTAATCCCAGCACTTTGGGAGGCAGAGGTGGGTGGATCACAAGGTCAGGAGTTCGGGACCAGACTGACCAAGATGGTGAAACCCTGTCTCTACTAAAAATACAAAAATTAGCCAGGCATGGTGGTGCGTGCCTGTAATCCCGGCTACTTGGGAGGCTGAGGCATGAGAATCACTTGAATCTGGGAGGTGGAGGTTGCAGTGAGCCGAGATGGCACCACTGCATTCCAGTCTGGGTGACAGAGGGAGAATCCATCTCAGAAAAAAAAAAAAAGAATTGACAAATATTCAAGTTTACCTATTCTTTCCTTAGCGATCTCAAGTCTACTGATAAACCACCAAAAGGCATTCCTCATTTCTGCTACTGTTTCTTTGATTTCTAGCATTTCCTTTTGATTCTTTCTTATAGTTTCTATCTGTATTGACATTATCTATCTGATTTTGCATTTGTGTACTTTTTTCAATCCCTTTATTAATCATACTGTAACTGAGTACCCTCACTTTTCTAAGAGAGAGTTCTTTACTTTCTTCTTCTCTCTTTCCTTCTTTTCCTCACTTCCTACTTAGGTCTTTAGAAATGCAGTTATAGCCTTTACCTGCTCTTCACCAGACACTCCTCGAGGGCAAGTTTATTTAGCTATGTTATTAGAAGCTCTAGAGTGAAACTCTTCTACCAGGAGGCTGCCTAAAGAAACAACAGTCCATCTACTACCCAAAGTATTTCCGCTGTGAAACTCTCTCCCACCTGGAGAATTTTCTGCTGCTTTTACAACCTAGTCTTGTCCACAAAGGGACCAGCAGTCATCAGCTTGACCACCCAGTAGATAAGGCACCAAAGCTAGTATGCAGACCCCCCCACCTGCTCATTGCCTCCTCTGCATGTCATTCATGCCAGCATGCTAGCCCCCCTTTAAAAGCACCCCACTTTCTGCTCCAAAGGTGAAGAGGTACCCATAAAGACAAGATCCTGCTCTTCTTCCCCTAAGCAAGATTTGGAACAAAATGTCACTTTCTTTATACGTTGCTCCTATTAATTGGAGTGACTGGACTTGTGTTTTGGTTACAAAATGTGGAGTGGGGAGTGACTGAACCTGTGTTTTGGTTACAATTTTTGTGGCTCATATGGGGAAGTGCTGCATGCCCTGGGTGAGCTAAGTTTGCCAGCCCAGTTTCACTACCGGGTGAGGTGTGGGGTCACCTGTGAGTGCTAGCTGCTCATGGCTAGCAGACCCCATCATGGGAACATTAGGAAACTTCCCAGAAGCTGCCAAAAATGAATTTGTTTTGGGGCAAGCTCCCTTTTGCCTCATGGCATGACATCTGCTGCCTTTGGTGTTTCACTGGGACAAGCAAAATGGCCTCTTAAGACACTGACAAACTTTGAAATTGAGTGAGTAGTTGGAGTGCACCCGAACTGGGTGGCTCTTTTGAGGTATCACTGGGGCCTTGTCCTATTTAAGACTTGGCTCTTTTGGAGTGTCACTGGGGCCCTGCCATATATATGTGTGTGTGTGTGTGTATTTTTTTTTTTTTTTTTGAGATGGAGTCTTGCTCAGCTGCACAGGCAGGAGGTCAGTGGTCTGATCTCGGCCCACTGCAATCACCGTCTCCTGGGTTCGAGCAATTCTCTCATCTCAGCCTCCCAAGTAGCTGGGATTACAGGCATCCACCATAATGCCCCACTAATTTTTGTATTTTAGAAGAGACAGGGTTTCACCATGTTGATCAGGCTGGTCTTGAACTCCTGACCTCAGGTGATCTACCTGCCTTGGCCTCCCAAAGTGCTAGGATTACAGGCGTGAGCCACCACGCCTGGCCCAAGGCCCTGCTGTATTTAAGACTTGGCTGCTAGTGATAGCATTTGAGCATTTTATGCATTTGTATTTATTTGAATATGAAGTTCCATAGGAACTTGGCTCAGAGTTAGCTTCCTGTGGAGCCATTTGGAACTGGGGCGGGGGATTCAGGACCTCACCCAGACCCTTGACTGGGGACTCATTTGAAGCACACTGTCTGCATGTGTGAATGAATGACTTTCCGTGTGGGCCCTGTTGCCTTGCTTTACTCTCTACCTCCCGTTTCACCCTCCTGACTATCTTGGAGAGCTGCCCACCTAGGGTGCTGAGACTCTCCCTGACAGAAGGTAAATGAGAATGGTGGGCCTAGTACCCCCACACTGTGTCATGGTTGGAAACTTCCCAAGTTTCCATCTGGTCACTGTACGTTTTTCTTTCCTTCTCCTCCTTTCTTTCTCTCACCCTCCTTGTGAAACCTGGCTCCTATGCCCAGTGTGGACTACACAGGAGCATAGGCCTGGCTCCAGTGAGGGCTGTCTTTCCCTCTCTCTTCTTTCCTGTCTGCTTTAAATATGCTGTTACTAAACTGCTGGTGCTGAGATAGGGCTCATGTGGTCTAACTAGAATGGAAACGTCGGAAACTGTTCTGCAACTGAGGGAAGAAAAGATGAGTCTGTTTTTTTCTCTCTCTCTTTTATAAGGAAGGAGTCTCTTTTGGAGCCAGGAGCTGTGCAAC